GGCATGGCACACGGATCGATGACGTGGCAGAGGGGCCTATGCCAACGGCTATGCCGTAGGCATACCTTTGCCATAGATAGTATAAAGCAAACCGTCCGCATAGCCGCGCACACGGATCGATGACGTGGCAGAGGGGCATGGGCCAGGTCTATGCCGCCGGCCGCCGTTACCTCCCGTCGGCGTAGATTCAACGTCATCAAACGGTCAGCGCTGACCGAGTAGGTGGGCCCGGGCTATGCCAGCGGCCTCACCTATGCTGACGGGCCCCGTAGGCGTATCTCGAGTGGTCCCGACGGCCTCGTCTTTGCCGACTGTATGCCGACGGCTTTTCTACGCCTACGGCATGTCCTTGGCCGTCGGCATAGGTCCATCTATGCCGACGGGGGCCGTCGGCAACCCAAGTTTTTCTGGTAGTGAACCTTTAAGGACAGGAATCCTGGCAGAAATCCAAAAGTAATGAAATTTTGCAGCATCAATTTATTTTATCGCAAAAACATTGTAAATGAAGACAAAATCATTATTTAACACATCCATCTATTACAATTCATGGAGCATCCATATTTCAGAAACAATCTCCATTATTTAACACATCCATCTACAAATATCTCACCGGACACAGCATCCATACTTGATCCAGTCAACAGAAAATCTCCCTAGATCTACAGTTTGATCACCACACTACTACTTTCTACATCCTTCATCTGACACATCATCGCGAAAATAGGCACTGCACAGCCTGTTGATCTCCATAGAACAACACCTCTTTATTTTCAAGTGGAGCTTCTGAATCTTGTATAGTATCCACACCTATACATCTCCATTGCCCCTGCACCAACAAAGCTAGAATCACCAGCGAACTCAGAATCTTAAGCTTCAATCTCCACCTAAGATTGCTTCCAATTTCTGAAGGCAAAATGTGAAACGTTTGCATTCGCATCACTACATACCACACTAGTTGTTGCATCTTGCAATATCTCACCATGTGTGATAAATGAAGTGTTTCGAACAAACTTGGATTAATGTAAAGGATCAAGATTGCCAAATTAAAACTGGGAATAAAACATTGTTAACAAACTCGGATTAATGTTCTGAAAATTGGTGTAGCAGATGTGACGAGGAGGATAACTAGATCGGGCTGGTTCCCACCTTGTGGTTGACGTCCAGGTCCCCGGCCAGGCGACCACGGCGATCCTCTCCGACGCACCCAACGTCTGCCAACAGTGGACGAGACAGAGGCGATGGTGGGATCACGAGGAATACGAAGAAGAACGCGGCAGCATCGGGAAGCAATATCGGCGTTGGCGGCGGCGAAGACCTAGAGCCGCAAGACGAAGAGGAGCGCGCCTGGAGCCGACTCCCTGGTGCGTCATGTGGCGGGCCTCTCATCGCACGCGAGCTGAGCGACCCTCGAGGGCCAGGAGGAGCCGAGAGCAAGCGGGCGTCCGGTCGCGGTGTTGTCCACGCGTCGGCCATCCGCTGCGGGGCTGCACAGGCGCGGGTTTGCAACCCGTCTCCATTAATCAGGAGGATCCTCTTTTTGCTAAGTTGGACAGAATTTTAGTGAGCTCTCTTTGGGAGCAGCAATTTCCTTTAGTAACTGTCAGAACCTTGGTGAGAGGGGTTTCTGACCATGCAGCGCTTCTATTACATACAGGGATTAAGTCTACTATTAATCGCAAGCCTTTTAAATTTGAGCTATGCTGGCTGTCTAGAGAAGAGCTCCCTGATATTGTTAATAAAGTCTGGAGTTCCACTGTTCGTAGAGGTAGCAGTCTTGATTGGTGGCAGGATTTCATGTGGAAATTAAGGAGAACCCTTAAAGGGTGGAACCTTAATGTAGAGGGTAGATATAGGGGAGATAGAGATGATATTGCCAATAAGCTTGACTTTTTGGATAAGAAAAGTGAGCTCTCTGGAGTTTCCGAAGCTGACTATGTTTTGAGAAATAAGTTGCAGAATGATTTGAATAAGATCCTTAGGGAAGAGGAGATTAAGTGGTACCAGAGGTCTAAAGAAAAATATATTAAGGAGGGTGATGGTAATACGAAATACTTCATGATTAAGGCTAGCGGTAGGAAGTGTAGGAGTAAAATTTTCAGATTCATACAGGATGAGGGGATCATCCAAGGGGATGAGCAGCTCCTTAAATATGCGACTGATTTTTATAAGAAGCTCTTTGGGCCTGTTGAATTACTTCCCGTCTCCTTAAACATTCCTCTAACTGATATGCTTTCCGATGTGGACAAAAGTAAGTTGGCTAGTAAATTTACTTTGGATGAGATAAAAATGGCTGTTTTTTCTATGAGGCATAATAGAGGAGCCGGTCCCGATGGTATGCCTATTGAATTCTTCCAAACCTTTTGGCACCTCATTTGCAATGATTTGTTGAGTCTCTTTCAAGATTTTTATGATGATATGATTGATATTTCTAGGCTAAACTATGGGGTAGTTACATTGTTAGCTAAGGGTCAAGGGGTGGATAGGATTCAGATGTATAGACCTATTTGCATGCTCAATGTCCCGTTTAAAATCTTTACCAAAGTCTTAAACAATAGAGCTATGACTACTGCTCACAAGACGATTTCTAAGGTACAATCTGCATTTATCAAAGGGCGTTATACTTTAGATAATGTCGCTGTTCTCCATGAGACACTTCACTCACTACATAAGTCTAAATGCGCTGCTGTTATTTTTAAGGTTGATTTTGAGAAAGCTTATGATAAAATTAATTGGGACTTTACGCTTAGTACGCTGAAAATGAAGGGGTTTCCTGATAAATTTATTCGTTGGACAAAAGCAGTTATTCATAATGGTAAAGTAGCTATTACTTTAAATGACTTGATTGGCCCCTATTTTGTTACTAGGAAAGGATTGAGGCAGGGGGACCCGTTCTCCCCCCTATTGTTTAACCTTGCTGCTGATGTTCTTGCTACCCTGGTTCAAAGGGCGCAAGAACAAGGATTTATTAAAGGAGTTCTGCCTAGATTGTACGAGGGTGGTCTTACTGTCTTACAATACGCTGATGATACGATTTTCTGCTTTGAAGATGACTTAGAAGGGGCTAGAAACCTTAAAGTCATTCTATGCGTGTTTGAGCACTTGACGGGTTTGAAAATCAATTTCTTAAAAAGTGAAATCCATTGCTTTGGTGCCGCTTTATTGAAACAAGAAGAATATGCTCAGATTTTCACTTGTGCGGTCGGGGACTTCCCCTTTACTTATTTAGGCCTTCCTTTACATTTTAAAAAGTTGCATAATGCGCATTGGAAACCAGGTGAAGAGAAAATTGAGAAGAAGGCAGCAACCTGGCAAGGGGGTTTGCTTTCAATGGGTGATAGGATTACCCTCGCTGAGACTTGTATGAGTAATGTTCCTAGCCATTTGCTTTCTTTTTTTAAACTACCTAAAGGTGTAGGCAAGAGAATGGACTTTGTTCGTGCTCGTATGGTTTGGCAAGAAAGGGATGGAGTGAGAAAGTATCACTTAGTCAAGTGGGTGGACGTATGCCAACCTAGAGACCAGGGGGGTCTGGGGATTACTAATTTGGAGATTAAAAACATCAGCCTCTTATGTAAGTGGTTATGGAGATTAGAGAATGAGGAAGGGGATTGGCAGGAAATGATTAGAGCCAAATATTTGAGTAGGAAAACTCTGGTTCAATGTGAAGCATCTCGGGGTAATTCCCATTTTTGGAATGGGTTGTTGAGTATAAAGGATATCTTATATTCTTGCTGTCAAAGGGTGGTGGGTGATGGTTGTAAGACGAGATTTTGGGAGGACACATGGCTGGGGAGAAAGCCACTTTGTCAACTTTTCCCCCGCTTGTATAATTTAACTTTCTGTCAACATGTTACTGTTGCTAAAGTCTTTAACCAGGATTTTGATTGTATTAGATTTAGGAGATGTCTTTATGGAGAAACTCTTACAATGTGGAATGAATTACTTGATATGTGTAGTCAGGTTACTCTATCGGAGGAGCCTGACAGAGTTAAATGGCTTTTAACTAAATCTGGGTCCTTCTCGGTTAAGTCGCTTTATCATTACCTTATAGCTAGAGTTGTTGCTTTTCCTTTTAAACTTCTTTGGAGGTTGAGAATACCTCTAAAAGTAAAAGCGTTTATATGGTTAGTGATCAAAGGGAGGATCCTAACCAAGGATAACTTATCTAGACGAGGGTGGAAAGGACCAAATTTCTGCGAGTTTTGTGGCGTTTCTGAGAGCATTGATCATCTATTCTTTTTGTGTTCTTGTGCTAGGTTTTTATGGAATGTGATATGCGGTACACTAAGTAACCCGAAATTACCTTTATCTTTCTTTGACCTTTGTCAAAACTGGATACCATCCTATTCTGGAAAGGATAGGGCTATTGTTTCTATTGGTGCTGCTGCTTTGATATGGACAATTTGGAAAACAAGGAACAAATCCTGTTTTCAACGTGTTTTCCTTTCAAATCCTATCAATGTAATATTTACCCTGTGTTCTTTGTTGGATTCATGGATGATTCTACAGAGAAAAGGTGTGCAAAAAATGCTTAGGGAGGTTTCCAAGAGGCTATCTCGGGTAGCAAATGAAGTCTACAGAAGAACATATGGGTGGAATCCTTCTGCTCTAAGACTGGGTTTTGTGTCTACCTGAAATTGGGTGATTCTGTAGTATGTTTGGCCTATTGTTTTGGCTGATGTGCAAATTGTAAAAGATGTTTAAAAGTCTGTTCTCTCTCCGGTAGTGGGTGATTTGGCATCCTATAGATATGGTTATATGTCTAGGATGTAGGTTGCTTATCAGTTGATGAGGTGATGCATCAGGTCTGATGGAAAAAAGTGGTGTGATGGTTGTATCTAGACTTCTATTTTCTTAATGAAAATAGGGGCCATGTGGCCCTTTTATCGAAAAAAAACCCGTCTCCACAGAATTTTTACACTTGCTTTCTTCTTCCTAGACCAGAGATTCTCCCCAGTGTGCCTACTAGATGAAGAGATTACAGAAGGCGAGGGGAGGGATTAGCTCTGCAGAGGGGACCTGACAGTCCAGGAGCTGAGTGAGCCGTGCAGCTTGTCAGAGGCACGCACGACCCATAGCTTGAGCAGGTCTCTCGACGCGTCCTGCCATCCCTTTATTCTGTAATCCTCTCGTTTCCGGTCCACCACTCTTTTGCTTCCATTGATATGCAACCGTGATGCGGCGGTTCCTTTGCTTGGCACACGCGTTGCCGGCGTCGTCTTCTCCACGCAGAGCTGCGCGGTGCCATGCCTGGACCTGAGGCACAGCTGATACATCTTGGATTCGGTGCTCCGGAGGTGATCCACTGCCTTGGGGAGCAGCTTCTCGTCCACGTCTTGCAAGGTCGCATTTCGATGGACCGTTTCCTGCTCCTCCCCGTCGATCACCTCGAAGGCAAAGCTCTCGTCCTGAGGCTCTATGCCCTCCGGGAAGTCATGGGGAATAAAAACGACCGACAACTTCAAACCTGGAGTTTTCACATAGCTTCTTCTACTCCCTCCATGTGTTTTGTGCGGAGCTTGAGCCGGCGGCGAGATATGGCATTGCAGGTAGACCGTGATCACCTGCTCTGGAAACAGTGTGCACGCCAGCCTTGACTTTGATGGTGACAACGATGATTGCCCGTCGCTCTTGCTGCTGCTACAGGTGGAAGGCACGATGAAACCGTCATGGCCGCTGCAGCAGAGCGGGTCTGGACGAAGGCACTGGGTCAAGGTCCTGTGTATATCGACCCAGTACTCAGTCTCTCTGAAGGGCAAGCTCTCCACCCAGGAGAAATCCTGCGTGGGAAGCTGGACGAGCTCCCTCGTGAAGCCTTCCGCGGCGGCCTTGAGGTGCGGCGTCACCGCCTGCATGCACCTCGCTATGATCCCGAGCACGTCGCTGCTCTCGGATAGGCGCAGCATGAACCTCGAGCTGAAGCTCTTGGCGGGCGCCCTGAAGTCCTGGAGGACGAAGCCGACCATGGCCTCCACCCCGCGCTCCGCGAAGCTCGTGGGCCGGATGCCGAGGTAGTAGAACCTGCCGCCCTGCAGCGCCTGGTACCGCGCCGTCTTGCCCGCGAGGAGGTGGCCGATGAGCGGGTCGAAGAAGAGGTGCTGCCGCGGGGTCCCGCCCAGCTCCACTAACCTGACGAACTCGCCGGCGCCCTCCGCGAACCTCTCGAACCTCCGGACGGGGACCGGTTCGCCGACGTCCTTGCCGCGGCTGACGAGAGATGACACGAGCGACTTGACCGCGTGGGCGATGCGCGTGGGGAGCGAGGACGCCTGCCGCCTGAGCTCTTCATCTACCACGGCGCGCTGGCGCTGCGTGAGGTGGCGCAGCGTGTCGTCGCACTCCTGGGCGGCACGCTTCAGCTTGCTCCGCCAGAGGAGCACCGGCGCGGCGGTGATCTGCCACCGGTCGGACAGCTGCAGCGCGGTCTCCATCTTGATGTGCGCCATCTCCAGCCTCTCCATCTCGTCTCTGCCGCATGGCCTCTTGTCAGGCTTGTCGATGATGAAGCTGGAGACCCTCGTAACCGTCTCGCCGACCACCGCGGAAGCAACAATCTCCGCCATTAAACGTGATAGTGAACTTGTACATAAGACTGGTCAGGTGACTGTACTATATATAGAGCGAGAGGAGTCTTGAGTCCTTTTCCACGCGTTGTGCTTCGATCAAGAGAGACTTGAGTCTTCGCAACAAACGTGTGAAGTCAATGATGAAGTCTTCTCTCTCTCAAGGGAGTTCAAGTGTTTTCTGAGACTAACTCGAGTCTTCCAAGTGTGAAGTCTTCCTCGTAGTGGAAGAGTCAGTCAAACGAACCACGCGTACGCGCTTGGTTTCTGCGGAATCAATTTTTGGATACCATGCAATTACACCAACTGAAACGTGACTTTCAAAAGAATCAAACTTTTAGCCAATGGGATTCAGCTGGTGTGGTGGTTGACACCGCATTCACACACACACAAAAAAAAACCAGCATGCTCGCTCGAAGATCTGTATTCTACGGTTCATGATCTTTTACTCTTAAGACTCAAGAACATATGGAAATTGTGCATCAAACTACATGAACATGTCAGAGCTACTATTTCTTTTATGGATGGATCATAGAGCACAAAAAACCTACACCTATTATTGTTTAGGTCCATGCAAGGTGACAATTTTTGGTGCTATCCTATTGAAAGCGAGGATGGAATCAGAGAAAGCAATTGCAAAAGCTATTCTAGAAAAAAGGTGATTGCAAAAGCTGCAAGGATCACTAAACTTGTGCCACATCGAGGGCTTGGCCTACAGGAGCTGCATCCCCCTTATAATATGATTTGATCCGATTATTCGTTGCCCACAATACTGCTTCAGCCTTCAACCTAGTCATCTTAGTTCGAGCCATGTCATTGTTGATCTGATTTTGTGCTTATTAGAACTTCATACTGACTGAACATAATTATTTTACTTTATAAGGTGAAGAGATTTTACTATAAGTTTTATATAGTTTACTAGAACAACAACACTTCCTCTAACTTTATTTTAACCAAAACGCAGCAGGACGGGCTGTAGTTCATTCATCAAGAAGGAAAGTAAGAGAGTTACTGAGCTAGGGAAGGAAAAATAAAAAGAAAAGCCTACACTGGCGATCGGCCTGCATCTCTGGCTCTAAGTACGCTCATGGAGGTTTGAAGAGTTAATTTGTTGGAGGAAAAAGCTTGACCCAGAAGAATGGCTCGATAGGTTCAGCTGCTTTGAGCAAAGCTCCACGACCCGTTCAGTGATCTCAATGTTCACAACTAGAGCAGTGATTCAACGTGGACATTTTGTGCCAGATGGGGATCACGTCAACTTCCTCGAGCCTCCTAGTCCGATGAAAGAAATTACATTTGATATTCCTCATCTGTTTCAACTACGGTTCAATTTCTTACTGGCACACCATGAAGCTTGGAAGAAACAATATCCATATTTTTTTGAGCTCGTTGTAGTGTAGTACAAGGTGTGGGCGTTGGGTACCCTATTGGTGAGGAAGTAGACAAGGTGTGTGCGTTGGGTACCCTATTGGTGAGGAAGTAGACAAGGGGTGCCTTTTAAAGACATGGTTGGTAAGTACGAGTTTGCACGAGGATGTTATTTTTAGCCACATCATCACGATCCCATTTTTTCCGGGGAATCACCACGATCTCATTAATCATGCTCGCACTATAGTGCTAACTAAAGAGAGCAAATCATGGCTCATTTGCTCCTACATGCATATTTTGAGCTGTTGATATGACAACGTCACTATATTGACCATACCAAGGAAATGATATAACGACAACTATAATTGAATCCGAAAACATTTTCTCGCGAGCTTTAACCTACTCCAATCAAACCCCAAAAGAGTAGAGTAGTTCCAGCCAAGAGGGGTTAGGTGGTTGGTGCTGGGTGACTTCAATCAAATTTACACAACTAGAGATACGCGAGCATGCGCCGTATAAACCGTTTTCATGCAACTCTGAATTCTTGTGAGCTTAGGGATATCCACCTGTAGAGCTGGCACTTTACTCCTCATGCTTATGCCTTGTCTACGTCACTCTCGGATCACTGCCTTCCTTTCATCGTCGATGATAGCGGCCTGCGACAGTGCTACTCCTTGAGCTTGCGTTGGTTTTTTCCTTGAAGAGGAAAGGGTGATGCAGCAAAGTAGAGATCAGTATTTCCCTCAGTTTGAGAACCAAGGTATCAATCCAGTAAGAGTAACAAGAGAAGCACCAATGTACCTACAGAAAGAATCAAACACTTGCACCCAATGCGACAAAGGGGTTGTCAATCCCTTCATGGTTATTTGCAAAAGTGAGATCTGATAGAGATAGATATAATTGATAACTAAACGATAATAGAAATAAAAGTAATAAAAGTGCAACAAGGTATTTTTGGATTTTTTAGTATTTAGATCTGAATATATAATATGGAAAATAGACCCGGGGGCATAAGTTTCACTAGAGGTTTCTCACTTGAAGGCAAACATTACGGTGGGTGAACGAATTACTGTCGAGCAATTGATAGAAAAGGGCAAAGTTATGACGATATCTAAGGCAATGATCATGCATATAGGCATCACGTCCGAGACAAGTAGACCGACTACTGCCTGCATCTACTACTATTACTCCACACATCGACCGCCATCCAGCATGCATTTAGAGTATTAAGTTCATAAAGAACGGAGTAACGCTTTAAGCAAGATGACATGATGTAGAGGGATAAACTCAAGCAATATGATATAAACCCCATCTTTTTACCCTTGATGGCAACAACACAATACGTGCCTCGCTACCCCTTCTGTCACTGGGTGAGGACACCGCAAGGTATGAACCCAAAACCAAGCACTTCTCCCATGGCAAGAATTATAGATCTAGTTGGCCAAACAAAACCCACAACTCGAAGAGACTTGCAAGGATATGAAATCATGCATAAAATAATTTAGAGAAGATTCAATTAATATTCATAGATAATCTTATCATAAATCCACAATTCATCGGATTTCGACAAACACACCGCAAAAGAGAATTACATCGGATAGATCTCATGAAGATCATGGAGAACTTTGTATTGAAGATCAAAGAGAGAGAGAGAGAGAAGAAGCCATCTAGCTACTAGCTATGGACTCGTAGGTCTGAAGTGAACTACTCATGCATCATCGGAGAGGCAATGGTGTTGATGAAGAAGCCCTCCATGATCGATTCCACCTCCGGCAGGACGCCGGAAAAGGCCCAAAGATGGGATCTCGTGGAGACAGAGGCTTGCGGCAGCGGAAAAGTATTTTTGTGGCTCCCCTTTAGGTCAGGAGAATATTGTGGTATTTATAGGCGAAAGAAGTAGGGCAGAAGACCCACGAGGGGCCCACAAGCCCCTGCCCCCCCCCCCGGGGCATGCCCTGCAGGATTGTGACTTCTTCGCGGCTTCGTTTCCTTAGTTTTCAAGTCCTACAGGTGTCTTCTGGTCCAAGAAAAATCATCGCGAAAGTTTTATTCCGTTTGGACTCCGTTTGATATTCCTATCTGAAAAGGTCAAAATCAGGAAAAAACAGAAACTGGCACTGGGCACTGTGTTAATAGGTTAGTCCCAAAAATAATATAAAATAGCATCTTAATGCATATAAAACATCCAAAGTTGATAATATAATAGCATGGAACAATCAAAAATTATAGATACGTTGGAGATGTATCAAGCATCCCCAAGCTTAATTCCTGCTCGTTCCGAGTAGGTAAATGATAAAAGTAGAATTTTTGATGTGGAATGCTACCTAGCATATTTATCCGTGTAATTTTCTTTATTGTGGCATGAATGTTTAGATCCATAAGATTCAAAATAAAAGTTTAATATTGACATAAAAACAATAATACTTCAAGCATATTAGCAAAGCAATCATGAACTTTCAAAATAACATAGCCAAAGAAAGCTATCCCTACAAAATCATATAGTCTGGCTATGCTCCATCTTCCATACACAACGTATTTAAATCATGCACAACCCCGATATTGGCCAAGAAACTGTTTTCATACTTTTACTTTCTCAAACTTTTCAACTCTCACTCAATACATGAGCGTGAGCCACGGATATAGCACTATAGGTGGAATAGAATATGGTGGAGGTTGTGAGGAACAAAAAGGGGAGATAGTTTCACATCAACTCGGCGTATCAACAGACTATGGAGATGCCCATCAATAGATATCAATGTGAGTGAGTAGGGATTGCCATGCAACAGATGCACTAGAGCTATAAGTGTATGAAAGCTCAGAAAGAAACTAATGGGTGTGCATTCAACTCGCTTGCTCACGAAGACCCAGGGAAATTTGAGGAAGCCCATCATTGGAATATACAAACCAAGTTATATAACAAAAATTCCCACTAGTATATGAAAGTGACAAAATAGGAGACTCTCTATCATGAAGAACATGGTGCTATTTTGAAGCACAAGTGTGGTAAAGGATAGTAGCATTGTCCCTTCTCTCTTTTTCTCTTATTATTTTGGGTGGGCACCTTTGGCCTCTTTTTTATTTGGGCATCATTGGCCTCTTTTATTATTTCTCAAAGTCCGGAGTCTCATCCCAACTTGTGAGGGAATCATAGCTTCCTTCCTTTCCAAACATGGGACAATGCTCTAATAATGATGATCATCACACTTTTATTTATTTACAACTCGATACTTAGAACAAAAAATGACTCTATATGAATGCCTCTGGCAGTGTACCGGGATGTGCAACGATCTAGTGTAGCATATGACATTAAGGAACATCACGCAAGCTGTCTTACGTTCATGCAAAGCAATATGACAATGATGGCTCGTGTCATGAAGAACGGAATGGTGGAAGTTGCATGGCAATATATCTCGGAATGGCTATGGAAATTCCATAATAGGTAGGTATGGTGGCTGTTTTGAGGAAGATATATGGTGGGTGTATGCACAAGCGAAAGTTGCGCAGTACTAGAGAGGCTAGCAATGGTGGAAGGGTGAGAGTGTGTATATTCCATGGACTCACATTAGTCATAAAGAACTCACATACTTGTTGCAAAAGTTTTATTAGTTATCGAAACAAAGCATTAGACGCAT